TGGCCGAAAATAAAAGAATATGTTTGAGGTGTGCTATAAACCGAAAATCAACATGAACTGTTGAAGCAACACCCAAATATTCCGCACCAGACAGACCATGGCAGAGAGTAGGGATAGATTTGTTTCTTAAAAATCATTGAAATAAGAAAATTAAACGGAAAGTCAACAAGTGTTATCAAAAGAAATTTGCTAGCTATTTTTGCAGTAACTGGAATATCATAAGAAGATAGTATGCCTTTAACAGTAAGAATTCAGGTCTTGTGCTACGCTGAATAATTTAACCGGAAAGTCAACAAGTGTTATCAAAAGAAATTTGCTAGCTATTTTTGCAGTAACTGGAATATCATAAGAAGATAGTATGCCTTTAACAGTAAGGAATTCAGGTCTTGTGCTACACTGAATAATTTCAAAATCACACAACTAGTCCAACAATGAGCAATTCGAAGGTTATGGCACAAAGACATACATGTATTCAAATAGTCAATTAATTTATGATTCATTCCTTCTTACACTACTTGGTGGAGATCGTGTGCTTAGAAGGGTGGGAGATAAGTACTGCTTTATTTGGAATTATGATTTTGCAAGGTCTTCCTGATTGTTGCAAAAAGAAGTGCATTCCTTTGAACTCACTACAACAGACTTGAAACTGGATTTTCCCATTCATGAAATGTGCATAAATTTTTGCAAACGATTAAACTTGGTTTTCAGAAATTAGGCACGTGCAAGGTAAATATTCTTATTGTTATAATTAGTCCGTGGAAGTGTAACTGCAAATTGTTCATCTTTATAAATTGTAAGCTTTGTCGTTATATTAATATTGTCCTACTTTCACTGTGGACCGACTTAGTGAAAATAAAACATAGCTGAGAATGAGGAATCAACTTACAAGTATAGGTTAGTGTTTAATAATACATATTAACAAAAATAATTGGTCAAGCCTGCCTCAGGCAGGCGACCAATTATTTTTGTTAATGTGTATTATTAAACATTAACCTATTTAATGATCAACATTATTTTTTTCAACCAAAAACAAGGCATTTCTCTAAATCACCGATAGCTGCGCCCTTTCGCTCTACAAGATGTCTACACCTTGTCAAGTTTCTAACATGTCACATTTAGAAAATCTTAATAAATGGCTCTTTCAACATATAATTAGGCACATTTTTTTACTGAAATGTCACAGAATTTATACCTTTATGCATAGGTTAGTGTTTAATAATATGCATTAACAAAAATAATTGGTCAAGCCTGCAGCAGGCAGGCGACCAATTATTTTTGTTAATGCATATTATTAAACATTAACCTATTTAATGATCAACATTATTTTTTTCAACTAACAACAAGGCATTTCTCTAAATCACCTGTAGCTCCGCCCTTTCGCTCTACAACATGTCTACACCTTGTCAAGTTGCTAACATGTCACATTTAGATAAGCTAAATAAATGGCCCAGGCACATTATTTACTGAAATGTCACAGAATTTATACCTTTATATACAGTAAGACTATCATGTTTATAATATGTCTGGAAAAAACAGCGAGGAAAACGATGCAATTAGGTAAAAACAATGGAGTTAATGAAAATTGGACATCCTCTAAAAATAAATGGAAAATGTGAGAAAAAAATACATTAGAGATTATTCATTGATACAAATTTGTTATTAGCTTCAAGTTATTCACTATTATTAAAAATCCCTATTGATTTGTTCATTTGAAAAACAGTTCATTTTTTTCTGTGTGAAGGGGGTACATTTTCAATGAGTTTCCAGCCAAAAATGTAGTAATTATTGTATTCTTAATATAAATGATTGTTAATGCAGTTTATTCCTATCAAGTGAAAGAAAATAATGTTTTGGTTACTTTTTCTATAAAAAATAAAGTTTAAAACAGTCAGCAATTTATAACAGTCATTTTTCTTAGAGTTCAAAGGATATAAAAAAGTTAATATGCAATCATTTGTCTCTGCGTACCCAACATGTATTATCTATGTAATAAATCAGTTGATTGTATCCTCACATTAAGAAACACCTGACCTCGACTAAATTTTTGTTATGTTGGCATTGTTTTGCTAACTTTGACATTTTACAAATCAGAGTGTAAACCATACCTCTAACTCCTCCCTAATATAATGCATTATTAAAATTTGTTAGACTGAGGTTAGACGACAGATTAAGTGAATTTTATTTAGTTAGTACACATTAACCAAAGTTAGACAAAGCAGAAATTTGAAAAATACTACAATGTGATTGGACAAAAAATAATGTTGATCATTAACTACAATAAGACTATCATGTTTCTAAAAATATCTGGAAAAAAACAGCGATGAAAACAATGCAATTAGGTAAAACAATTGAGTTAATGAAATGTGTACATCCTTTTAGATTATTAATTGAAACAAATTCGTTATTAGCTTCAAGTTATTCACTTAATTTTAAAATCCCTATTGATTTGCTCATTTGAAAAACAGTTGACTTTTTATGTGTGTGTCAATTTAGGTTTACAGGTGGTACAATGAGTTTTCCAGCCAAAAAATGTAATCATTGTATTCTTACTCCTATCGACTGAAAGCAAATAATGTTTTGGTTACTTTTTCTAGAAAATATAAAGTTTAAAACAGTCAGCAATTTATAACAGACATTTATCTTAGATTTAAAAGGATATAAAAACTAACAATGTAATCATTTGTCTCTGCGTGCCCCACATGTATTATCTATGTAATAAATTAATTGATCGTATCCTCACATTTATAAACACATGACCTCGCTTAATTTTTTTACGTTGGCATGGTTTTGCTAACCTTAGATATTTTACAATTCAGAGTGCAAACCACAGCTCTAACTCCTCCCTAATATAATGCATTATTAAAATGTGTTAGACTGGTTAGACGACAGATTAAGTAAATTTTGTATGGGTAAGAGTTCGTATTAAGACGACCGTAGGGAGTCTTATCGAACTCTTACCCATATAACTGCAAATCGGCTCTTACAACTGGATATCAGATAAAAATATAGAAAGTGTCACCTCTTTAATTAAGCATAACATTATTTTTCACAAGCAGTCACGTTCAAACAAGGATGGGGTCCAATTACTTAATTTGGCATGTAAAACAATGAGTTTTCAACAATACCTAGGGTTGTTAATGCAATTCATTCCTGTCATTTGAAACTTTGGTAAATGTGTACTAACTAAATATAACTGCAAATCGGCTCTTACTCGGCAGTAATTAGTGTAGCTGCTTTTTCATGAAGAAACCAGTGCTGATAGTGAAAATTGTGATTGGCATATTTTAATTAGCCAGGTCAGGTGTTTCAAAAAAGGCTGATAACACTGTAGCAATGTGAGGATACATTCAAATTTATTACATAGATAATGCATATGGAGCTCAGTTCGCAGAGACAAATGAGAACACAGTAACTTTTTGATATCCTTTTAACTCTAAAAAATGTCAATTATTAATTGCTGACTGTTTATAGTAAGCAAAACATTATTTTGTTTCATATGACAGGAATGAATTGCATTAACAATCCTAGGTATTATTAAAAACTCATTGATTTACATGCCAGATTAAGTAATTGGACCCCATCCTTGTTTGTACGTGACTGCTGGGGAAAAATAATGTTATGCTTAATTAAAGAGGTGACACTTTCTATATTTTTATCTGATATCGAGTTGTAAGAGCCGATTTGCAGTTATATGGGTAAGAGTTCGATAAGACTCCCTACGGTCGTCTTAATACGAACTCTAAGTGCCCGTCTACACCTATCCAAGTCTTGAATGCAAGTATCATATTCTCTTGTATTGGATAGTGTAGACACCCTACTTGAATGAGTTTTAAAGAGAAATTATGTGACATCCAAGAAGATAATTCCTTGCAAGAAAGTTAGAACATGTTCTATTTTTCTACAAGTTTTTGGCTGTCAAGACACTGATAACACCGGTTTGACACAAAACATGTGCCCGAAGGTTTGATAGTGCTGTTATTTTTATTATTTTCTGACTTTTTGTTGTGATTCAGTGTACATGTCCTTTGAATTTCAGTTAATGATTACAATGTCTTGGTCAAAGGAACAAATCAATACGCTGATACACAGAAGAGCAAAAAAAAAAATAAATAAATAAAAATAAATACATTGTAAAAAAATAAACAAGAGCTCTTTTTCAAGTAGAGTCAAAATGGATTTAAAATGATCTTGTTCATTTAGTGAATAAGTTTCATCAAACAAAATAAATTTTTGTCACATTTTTTCAATTTTAAAAAAGAATGAACGCATTAACTCCATTCTGTTTTAGCTAATTGCATCATTTTCCCGCTTCTTTTCACATATTTTACAGAAACATGATAGTCTTGCAAAGACAAAGGTATAAATCCTGGGCTATCTTAATGAGACATTTCAGTAAAAATTGTGCCTGAAAAAATGTTGAAAGGGCCGTTTATTTAGCTTATCTAAATGTGACATGTGCCTAAGAAACTTGAATAGGTGTAGACACGGCTTTACCCATACAAAAACCAGCACGTTTTATAGAGATAAATAACGGTAATTAATGCTGTTACAAACTTTAGGCAACACCAGGGTGTCATTGTAGTATAATCCGTGAAGGAAAGTCTCATTATCATAGGACATTATAGAAAAAGAATAATAAGAACAGTTCTCAAAAATTATGTAATTAATTTTTACTATAAAGGAGGGAGATGTAATGATATGCATGATGTATGTATTTAACTCCACATACATCTGATTATAATGTCAATCTTAATTATGACGTGAATGTAAACTTATTCTCTGTCATTCATGTACAATTGAAGTTTGTATATTTAACTTGTTAGAACTCTCAGATTTTCAGTAACAGTTAGGCATCGACAGATAAATAAATAAGGCATTATAGGTTCTTGATAGGCTAGTGACTCGGTCAACCAAATCAACCCAGACAAAAGATTGCATCATTCAAAGTGTACCCTACTGTCCTGCAATACTCAGAATGAGATTTGATTAAAAATGCTTACCTGATACACCTATTTCATCTTTCTGGCTACCCGCCATGGATGAAAACGGCATTACATAATTGGTGTTTTCCTATATCATTTCAAAAAGGCTCGATTTACTTCATTTTATATCCTGGAAAAATCGTGCATTCAATGTATTGTCCGTCATCCGATAAAATTACGCCTTGACAACCGCAATTGACGTCGTTTCCAGACTGTGTAATGTTTTATTTTTTTATACATAGAATGGACGTCTGTTACCCGTGACGCCGCCAAAACTCTTGTTTAAATCTGAGCTGCGCCACTGATATCGGTGCTAAATCTTATATTTGCAATCGGTAAATATCTTTTTGAAAAGTTTTTTAACAGCACACAAAAGTTTCAAATGGATTTAATCTTATTTTTATAAAAACAAACCCGTGTACATCTATATTTATAGCTCTAACTTTCGCCTGTATATTAAATACATGGCTTTTATAGTTCATTGCATGTATTTTCAACATACGTTGAAACTAATGTTTTTAGACTTAAAATGAAACATATCATTAAAATTCATAAGATATTAATTGTCTTAAATATTGCGGTCCAAAATTTTTTATTATATGTATATAAAAAAAAGAAAAGTGTATAGCAGAGCGAGGTTTCGATCCTCGGACCTCTGGGTTATGGGCCCAGCACGCTTCCACTGCGCCACTCTGCTCTTCATGTCAATGTAAGAAGTTAAGAAATCTTATAAAGTCATTTAAATATTCAAATTTCGTCCTTAAATCTCCCGACCTGAAGATATTTGATAGTTTTTCTGTATGGTTATCTGTATGATGTTATTATGTTCGAATATTGATACTATTATTAAGTTAACGCTATTGTTATTATTTTTTTAATTTTACTTGTACATTTTTCATTTGTTTCACGAGCTTAGTTTAACAAAATTTCAATAAATTATTGAGGGCGAAAAAGAAAGGTACGAAACGACGGAAGAGTATCGATACTCGTAAAAGAACTTAATCATTTCAAGAGATCAAATAGAAAACATACAACAGGTAAAAATAGACAATACAATTGAGAAGTAAAATAATGGTAATAAAAAAAACCTAGAAAAAAACTTTGCAATTGAATGAAAATTTGATAAAATGAAATATATTTTTCATATGAATGAACAAAAGTGGGTGGGGTGATGAAAATATGCCGGGAACGAGAAAAGAAAGTGACATAATCATGTTAAGTTCCTGTGAAAAGAGAATATTGAGATTGTACTTTAACATGAGATTGCCACTTAAAAATGATGAGAAATCTGTTGTAAATTTTAAGCAAATAATCTGAAATTGCTTGGAATAAAGAACTCTTTATAACTCTTTGTGATTTGTAAACTTTTAATGAAATTGAACAGTTCACTAGCTCAACAAACAGGGGGCTTTGTATTATATAGACAATGGTTGCCCTTCATTCATTTATGCAATATCAGATTGTAAAATTCAATTATTGGTCAGTCTTGCAGCTGTTTATATTGAGACCAAACAGTTCACTAGATGCCAAGTTCAGGAATTATACCTGGCTTCCATTAACTTTAAATGTCGCTTGAATTTTGACTTGTTTGCAGGTCGAGCAATACTATAAATCCTGTTTGCTGAAGTCTCTATCACCGCCGTGGGTTCGAATCCCTACAGGGACTTTGGATTCTTTCATGTGAGGAAGCTATCAATCTAGCTTACTGAACGTCGGTGGTTCTATTCAGGTGCCTATTTGTGCCTGAAATAATGCACGGAAAAGCACCTGAGGTCTTCCTCCACCAGAAAAGCTGGAACGTCACGATATGACCTATACTGTGTCGATGTGACGTAAAACCCAAAACAAACAAACAAAACAAACTGAAGTCTCTACAGATACAGGAATCACAGTAAACTCAAAGCTCTTGGCCCCAATTCATTGAATCCAGTCGCGATTTTGGTCAATCTTGTCCCCCGTTTTGTCAATATTTTCCTCAAATAAGTGGATCTGGCTACACAACAATACAGTCGAGACTGTCATATGTGACTTTCCAAGGGATCTTCAGAAAAAGGTCACATATGACAGGGAGTCTCTTAATACAGTCTCAAAGAAAATTAAATTTAAGTATCATCTAGCTGTCTATATACCATTGTGACTTAAAGATCCTTTATGTTTTGTAATTGATATTGTTACAGAGTGTATACCACACTTGCAAAAAAAATATATATGGATATAATTATGCAAATAAAACAACTTTCAAACATCAAAGAATATGTAAAATGTGTACTGAAAATATTTGTGCACATTATATTTAATCAATAAATTACATGCATTGATTACTTATTGGAAAATTTAACTTAGAATTTATAGAAAATAAAGTTCTAATTACCTCCCTTTAATGGCCTTTATTTATATTAAATGTTAAATTGGGTGATATCTTTATAAATAATGCTTATTTGAACTTACATTATTGACAAATCTTAATTTGAGCATCATATTTATGAAATAAAACCATGAAAAATTGTGTTACAGGATCTTTCAACATATCCATATCCAAAGCTTTTTCTGGTTTAGTATCAATATTTTTTCCGTATTAATTATGCAGTCATAGAAAGGTAAATAAAAAAAATATGCTGCCTGGGCACTCTATAATTAAAAAAAAAATCTAACACAAGTCATAACCAGTTTACTCAGGCCATAATGTACATTACACACACATCGATTGCGTCATGCTTTCCATAAACAGACGCTACGTCACTTGATACCTGCATTTATACATGTCAACTGTGTAATTGAGATAGAGGTGTGTAGACTTTGTTTGCTACTGGATTATAATTGGACTTAATTATTTTGGCCCTCTGGGTGTTATAATAGGTATTATTTATCTGATTTTACGGACAATTAAAAGGTGTGAAAGTCGTTTAAATCAGACCAAACATTGCATTGGGACCTGACAATTAGGGTCGTTTGTCACATATGACAGGGAGTCGTTTAATTCAGACCATTTATATAGGAAAATACGTTGGGAGTACTGAAACAAGGTCGGATAAGACAGGGAGTCGTTTAAATCAGGGGGTCGCTAAGGCAGTCTCGACAGGACTGTATTTGGATTGTCAACCCTGCCCTAAAATTGGACAGTCCGGAGCCAACATTGGTGTGAGAGCCAAAAAGTGGTTAATATGGCCTTATATTTTAATTTTGATTCAGCATACAGTAAGGATAAATTAAAGGTGATGGAGAAATTAATTAATAAATAAATGGTGCAAAAAAAACAAACACTTTTTGTCATATCTTTTATCCATCTTCCCAGGTATCATTATATGTACTTAGACAGGATGTTTGTATCAAAGTGGCTAGCCATACGGCCAAAAATTCTAATTGAGAAGTTGCATTACTTTGAAATCACTTTTGATGGAAAAATCAATGCAAAATAGTGATTTTTGCAATTTCAAGATGCCCCCTCATTGCCATGGTAACAGGAAATTAAAGATTGAGTATGCTGTTACAAAGGCAGCTGGGTATAGTGCAGTCAACATTTGTGCCAAGTTTGAACAGTATTGAAGCCTTTTTTATAGTTTCATAGCAATTTGAACTTATATCAGGAGGCTTTTCAATGAAGACAACCATTTTTCACAAAATGCTCATGAAGTAATGGGTTAAATACAAAGTTAAACAGTAATAGCTTAACGGAGCACTTTCATTCACAATAGAGTAGACAACCTGACAGGCTTATTTTCGAAGCAGTAACTCTAAAAGTTTGTTGGTACCTCTTGATTAACTTGGAAAACCCAAACTATTTTAATTCTGTAGTAAGTCTATTGAAAGGCCGCATATTAAACTTTAAAATTATTCTTTATACAATATTAAAGTTTTAGATAGCTGTTATGCATGTTATATTAATATTTTCCCAGTATATGACATAGTTTTAACTTTTGCTTTTCTGTGATTAATAAAAACAGGTGAATTTCAGTGAATTATGAAAATCAGAATGTCAGGAAAGATAACAAAGATTGAGAAAGAGTTGTTTTCTATCCAATTGTCTCCCTTGGTACATATAAGCATTATTGTAATATTATAGGTATAATATATGATTTATGAAATGATTTATGGAAGTGTTGATAATTTTATACTACATATCCAATAACCAGGACACGTTTAAAAGTGCCTTGATTTCAGTTCTGAAGTTTTCTAGGAAAGATATTGAAACTTTCTTTTTTATAAAGAAATTAGGAAGGTAACACTTAATGATAGTTTATGCAAATTGAAATAATTGTCCCTTATAAACAAGAAAAATATTACATACATTCGTATGTAATATAGGTACGATTGCATACTACTGTTTGTGAAGACTTTATGTTTGCTGAATTAAAGGTGTAATGTAAAATGAACAAACATGTCTTGAGATATTTTATATCTTTAAACATTTTCATGGAATGTAATTAATGTATCACCATATTAAAGTTGCATGCCTTCAGATGAGAAAAATGATTTCAAGGAAATCAAAATAAGAAAAGAAAATTCACGTTCAATTGACTGCTTTGAAGCATAATCACAAAATAAAATTACAGTTTCAGTTTCAGTTTTTATTAAACCAAGGCATATAATATGCAACTGGTTATAACAACAAACAAACAGAAAAATAACAGTCAAAAATCACTAATATCACAATATAAAAATACAATTATGACTAGCTAAATAAACAAAAAGGAGATCAAATTGTTCATTTCCAGTACTGAATTCAATACAACATGTATTTTATATTGTAACAAATGGGAACGGAGAATGAGAAGTATTAGTTATCTAAATTTTAACATATATTTTTTACAAAATAAAGATAATTTTAGTAGAATATTTTTATCACAACTATTCATTAATGTGTCAAGTTTAAAAGTTTACAGGAATTTAAAAACCTTTTTAATACACTTAAGGTAGAATTTCATTGTAAATCATAGTCAAAGATTTGAGATATGATTATTTATTCATATTAACCTCATTATTGGTTATATATTGATAAAAACCCGAAAGACACAGTTTGTAAATATTTATTACAATAAAATATGAAAAAGGTATACGCGCCGAGGTTAGCTATAATTAAAATTCCCGCGCTAAGTCGCGATGGTGCTTGGGATAATCACTTGATACTGTAAATGGCAGCCATTTTACGATACGAATCCTCGGACAGTTTATCCTGCCGAAAAGATATGAAAAAA